GTGCCTCATTCCCACCTTTGTGGATGGAAGGGCCTGGCTCTGCCAGCATGCAGCTTCCAGGTGGGGCTGCTGCTGCCCCTATTGCAGCCACCCCCATGGGAACCTGCTTGGCTTCCCAGGCATCCAGCTAGCTCACTCTGGGCAGCAGGTAGGGAAGCAGCAGGGCCTGGGGCGGGAAGCATGGAGAGCAACACAGAGCCCACACCCAGAAGGGAGGTGGGAGTGTAGAGGTCAAGTGGGCATGGTGTAGGTATGAGTTGGAAAATCAGACTGAACGCCGTCTCATGAGATACGTATATTGAACCCCAGACATTTGAGCTGTATTAAGTTAAAATTGAGTTCTGCTTTCAATCGCCGTTTGCAGTTTGCTTCTATCATGTGCACCTCCAAAGTTATTACAGTTTAAGGTTGCACAAAGACTTTATAAACACCCTATACACACACGTACATACACACACATACATAATATCTATGAGCTTGCATATGTGCATAAAGATATACATGCAAAATGGCAGATATTGTGTACGTGTGCGCGCGCACATGCATGTACCATGCAGGAGGCTGCAAATGTGTGTTCATGGTGGCTGAGTGTAGTGTGTGTGTACACACACACCTGAAAGTTGGCAGATACTGTATGTATGTATGTATGTATGTACATGTGCATATGCCATGGAGAAGGCTGCATGTGTGTTCAAGGTGGGGGTATGTGTGCATGCGCATGCACATGTGATGGAGGAGGCTGCCTATGAATGTTCATGATGGCGTGTATGCAAGTATAAGTGCAAGTCGTGTGTGCGCACGCACACCATGGAGGAGGCTGAATGTGTGTGTGTTTGTGTGTGTATACATACATGCAAGCTGGCACCAGTGTGTGCGCGCGTGTGCATGTGCACGCCATGGAGGAGGCTGCAGGTGTGTTCACAATGCAGGTGTATAATTCAGTGAGTGCACATGGCCTTTTGTGTGACGATGGAGAGTGGGGGAAAGGGGTGAGAGCACAGCCCCCCAGGTCAACCCCCCTGCCCAGCAGCTCCTACCTGCACCAGGAGGTGGGGGATGCGCTTGTGGTTCTCGGAGACGCTGATCGGGGGGATCACCCAGGCCCGCTTCACTCGCCGGGGCCCCTCCGGCCGCCACAGGCGCAGGACCGGGGCCGCAGGTGCTGCACCGGATGGGCCAGGGTCCTGCAGGGAGGAGAAGGAGCTTGTGTTGGCACTTAGGGGTGCAGCTCATGCTGAGGTGGGGGTGGGCATTGTGGGGCTGGCTACAGGACACGGGGGCGGCAGCACCCACCACCCCTCCTCACCCACCACCGCCCCGGTTGGCCCCTGGGCAGGTGGAGCAGGGGCGCAGGGCAAAGAGGAGCGTGGGGGGCACAGACAGCGGGCGGGGGGCCACGGGCACGGGGCCAGCTCTCCCCAGCTGTGGGGCTGCAGTGACACCTCGCGGCTGCCGGGAGCTGCGACAAGACAACCCGGCTTCTTTGAGCTGCCCCTTCCCCACCGCCCGGGTGCAGCATGGCCTCGTGGTTGGAGGGGGGGAGTGTCAGCGCGGCCCCTGAGACCCACACCCTGCGCACACAGATGCTCCCAGGCAGACCCACACCCCCGTGTGCACATGTGGACATGCATGCACACATTGCAAACACCCCCCCATATATATAGCACGACACCACCCCTACAACCAGCCTTCACCACCCCTTTCCCAGTGTGCCCCTTCCCCAGCTGTTTCTGCACCCACCCAACCACAACTGGGTTGGGGGGGGGGTGTCATCAGAGCCCTCCCCCACCCAAGAACCAGAGTCCCCGTGAGCCGCCGAAACCCGTGAGTGGCCAGAGCAGGTGTGGCCGAGGCCGCAGCCGCGTCACACAAGAGCCCTTTGTGCAGGGGCTTCGGGGAACAGCTGCCCTGGGAGAGGCGCTGGGGGGGCAGGCGGCTGTCTGGCAGGGTGCAGAAAGGGCCATCTCCCCAGCACCCTCCCTCCCCCCCGATCGTATGTGGCTCCAGGGGTGGAGCAGGGTCCACGCTGGCTGGGCACAGAGAGGAGCCAAGGCGCTCATCGTGGGATCCCGCAGCCCCCAGGGACCTGGGCCAGCCCGGCCGGCCGCGCCGGCTATAAATGGAGCAGGCAGGGCCTGTGGTGAGCACGGGGAACGCGCCACCGCCCCGAGCAGCTGCGCCGTGACCCAGGGCAGAGCTGGGCTTCCGCAGGCAGAGGCCACGGCACCACCCTGCCCCAGGCAGAAAGGGCCCTGCAGTGAGGCACTCCCAGCCCAAAGCCCCTCCCCTGGTCCCCCAAAGGACACCCACCCGTGTCCCTCCATCCCCCGTGCACAAGGGTCAAGGCATGGGGTTAGCTGCCCTGACCCCTGTCCTTTCAGCTCCAGGGGCGTTCACTGGGGCTTAGGGGGCTGTGAGCAGGACTGGACTCCTCCTGCACCCACCAAGCCCCGTGCAGCAGCCCAGCTCCACCCGGCCTGAGCCAGACTGCCCCCAGACCCTGGGACGGGGCCCTCCGGTGCAGAGAGCTGGCCTGGAGCCCAGACACTCTCCCCAGGCCTGGGAGAACTGCACAGCCCTGGTGTCTCTGCAACCCGCGCTCCCACGGTCGCCGCAAAGCCGGGAGCCCAGGCTGAGCCCCTGGCTCCCAGGGCTGTTGTGATGGACAAGGGTGGGAGGGCATCCCCACCCCGGCGATGGGGGCAGCACAGCCCGGCAGAGCTGGCCAGGCTGTGGGAAGGAGCTGGGAGCCAGAGAGGGGCAGCAAATGACTCCTATCCCAGTAGAGCAGAGACATTTTTAGCCCGTGCCCTCTGACCGGGCCAATGGTCACCCCCCATGTGCCTGGAGCGCGCCCAGCCCCGGATTCCTGCCACAGCAGCTGGCCGAGGTGGCCCCCACCCCTCTCACGCCCCCACCCCGGGCCCAGGAGAGCAGGGGGCTGCCTCTCCCCAGCGCCACCCTCCCTTGCCCTCTGAGCGGGGCGAGGAAGTGGTTAATGCATGCTGGATCAGGCCCAAGCGTGGGGGCCCTGCCAAACGGGCCAGCCGCACTGACTTGGCCTCCTCAACTGTCCCCGGCCACGTTGCAGCCAGCACAGAGCGGGGGCAGGATGTGGGGACAGAGCGGCTGGGGGGGTCAGGGCCGGGCTAGCAGGGGTCGCGGGTCAGGCTCGGGCACCCACAGAGCAGAGGGGGCCGTAGGTCAGCGCGGCGAGGGGCTCTGACATGCACATGTCTCCGCTTGCTGCGGCCCCCTCCCTCACTCCCTCCCCCCGGGGCTGGGGGGCAGAGGGCCGGAGCGGAGCTAATGTGAACCAAATGCCGGCCCGCAGGCCGAGGCTGAGCCCCACGGGGGCATTCGCCACGCTTCACGCTTGTCACCGGCTCCCCACTGACTCCCAGCCAGGCAGGGCAGGACTGCGGCCCCCGGCGCCGGGCGGAGGAGAGGGACGGGGCTGTGATCCCAGTGCGGGCACGCCAGGACCCCCCCAACCCGTTACCCCCCTCTAGTAGCCGATCCCCAAGGATACCCCAGATTCCTGTGGGTACTACAGCTCTCCTCCGGCTGCATCCCTGCTACCCCCACCTGGAAGAGAGGGCATTAGGGAGCGGGGGTGTGCACACGCCTGTGAAGGCATGTTTGCATGCATGCATGCAGATAACGGCACGCGTGTGCAATGCCTGCCCAGGTGTGTGCATGGGTCCGTGCAGATGGCTGCACAGCCGGTGCCCGTGTGCGCAGGGCGCGAGCTGCCCAGCCCAGGCAGGTGTGTGCAGATGGCTCCACCACGGCATGCGTGTGCATGGCGTGGGCGTGTAGGGGGGTGCACTCCTGCTCCCCCCTGGGCCCAGCCAGGGGCTGGCAGCCTGCCCTGACAGTGCCCGGCTCTGCTCGGCCTGGGGGACTGTGGGTTTCCGGGGGGGCAAACCCTCCTCCAGCCCAGCTCTCCCAGCTCCAGGGGTTCCCCAATGCTGAGGCTGGTGTCCACCCAGCACCCCCAAACCAGGCCCCCTGTGCTGAGGACCCCCCCAGGCAGGGACCTCCGGATACAAGGACCAGGACGGGAAGGGTCAAGAGGGGGAGATGTGGGCACGCCGAGGAGGTGAGGACCACAGCGGCAGGTCCCAAGGGAGCTCCCCTGGGGTCTGGGCTGGCTGTCAGCTCCAGGCCCCCCACCCAGGGCACGTGGGCACGGCCTGCAGATCCATCCCCTCCGCCCACCTGCAGCCCCTTCCCCACAGCCCGGCACGGGGCTGAGCCACACTCCCAAGCCCCCTCCGTGTCTCTGGGTGGGGAACGGAGATGCCCAGCGCCCGGCCGTCCACGGCGCCTTTCCCATGGGCACGGTGCCCGCGCACGCTGCCAGCGCCGAGCGCACCCCTTACCTGAGCCCAGAGGGGCGGCAGGAGGCAGAGGGCGAGCAGGAGCGCGCTGTCCATGGCGGGGCGGCCGCGGGGCTGGCCGGTGCCGCGGGCAGGGACCGTCGGGCCGGGAGTGGGAGCCGGGCACTGGAGCGGAGCTAAAATAAAACTGGAGCCTGGCTGAGTGACAGCACATGTGCGGTGAGCGCGGAGGCCGGGGATCAGGCGGGGGGGCCGCAGCAGCTGTCCCCATTACACAGGTCACATATCCCAGGCCCCCGACCCTGGGGGGGCCGTGAGGACCGGTTAACCCTCTGCCTGCCAGCTCCCTCTGCCTCCCGCCCTGCCCGGGGGAGCCTCGGGACTCTTTCCCATCTGCCCTCACCGCGGCTGGGGCAGGCCACGAGCCCTTCGGGGTGGGCTACCGGCCTGTCCCGCTATGAGCTACGGGCTGTCCGTGCCTGATGCAGGCCTGGGGGGACAGGGGGCTGGGCTGGACCCCGGCAAGGCACCGCTGTGCCCCTGTGCACCAGCACAGCCCAGGCCTGCCCCCGCCAGCGAGGGGGTGGCTCAGCCCGGGGCAGGGGTCCAAGCTGAACGATGACTGCCCTGAGCTATCCCCTCCGGACCCCAGACCCGTGGGGACGACCCTGCCCCCCCAGCACCCGCCTCGCTCAGCTGCGCCAGGCCCTGCCCTGCAGGGAGGTGCCCTGCCTGGGGCCAGCTGCCGCGCGGGGCGCAGGGTGCCCGAAGGCCTGTGGGCACGCAGGGCTTGGCCGGGCAGGAGCTCTGTGCTACCGGCTGGGCCTCTCCGCTGGCAGGCGAGGGACGCTTTGCAACAGCTGCTGCCCGGGCTCCAGGAGTGGCTGGAGGCTGCCCGCGGGGGCCAGGACAGGTGGCAGAGCTGCGTGGGTGCAGCACAAAGCGGGGTCAGAAGCCACCGTGGTTTGGTGCCTGGAGCATCTTCCACCCACCCCCTTGACCCCCCACCTCTCTGCACCCAGCTCCCCTGCCCCTGCCCCCATGCCCCAGCCCACTG